TTGGTGTCAGTGGGAGGAATAGTGCCCCATCATAGGTGTTAGTGGGGGGAATAGTGCCCCATCATTGGTGTCAGTGGGAGGGAATAGTGCCCCCATCATTGGTGTCAGTGGGAGGAATAGTGCCCCATCATTGGTGTCAGGGGGAGGAAATAGTGCCCCATCATAGGTGTTAGTGGGGGGAATAGTGCCCCATCATTGGTGTCAGTGGGGGGAATAGTGCCCCATCATTGGTGTCAGGGGGAGGAATAGTGCCCCATCATTGGTATCAGGGGGAGGAATAGTGCCCCATCATAGGTGTTAGTGGGGGGAATAGTGCCCCATCATTGGTGTCAGTGGGAGGAATAGTGCCCATCATTGGTGTCAGTGGGAGGAATAGTGCCCCATCATAGGTGTTCGTGGGGGGGATATAGTGCCCATCATTGGTGGTCAATGGGAGGAATAGTGCCCCCATCATAGGTGTCAGTGGGAGGAATAGTGCCCCATCATTGGTGTTCAGTGGGAGGAATAGTGCCCCATCATAGGTGTCAGTTGGGGGAATAGTGCCCCATCATTGGTGTCAGTGGGGGGAATAGTGCCCCATCACTGGTGTCAGTGGGAGGAATAGTGCCCCATCACTGGTGTCAGTGGGAGGGAATGAGTGCCCATCACTGGTATCAGTGGGAGGAATAGTGCCACCAACACTGGTGTCAGTGGGAGGAATAGTGCCCCAACATTGGTATCAGTGGGAGGAATAGTGCCCCCATCATTGGTATCCAGTGGGAAAGGGAATAGTGCCCCATCATTGGTGTCAGTGGGAGCACTAGTGCCCCATCATTGGTGATCAGTGGGAGGAATAGTGCCCCATCATTGGTGTCAGTGGGAGGAGTATAGTGCCCCATCATTGGTGTCAGGGGAGCAATAGTGCCCCAACGTTGGTGTCAGTGGGAGGAATAGTGCCCATCGTTGGTGTCAGTGGGGAAGTATAGTGCCCCATCGTTGGTGTCAGTGGGAGGAATAGTGCCCCAATCGTTGGTGTCAGTGGGAGGAATAGTGCCCCATCGTTGTGTATCAGTGGGAGGAATAGGTGCCCCATCGTTGGTGTCAGTGGGAGGAATAGTGCCCCATCGTTGGTGTCAGTGGGAGGAATAGTGCCCCATCGTTGGTATCAGTGGGAGGAATAGTGCCCATCGTTGGTGTCAGTGGGAGGAATAGTGCCCCATCCAATTGGTGTCAGTGGAGGAATAGTGCCCCATCATAGGTGTTAGTGGGAGGGACAATAGTGCCCCATCACTGGTGTCAGTGGGAGTAAAAGTGTCCCATCACTGGTATCAGTGGGAGGAATAGTGCCCATCATTGGGTATCAGTGGGAGGAATAGTGCCCCATCATTGGTATCAGTGGGAGGAATAGTGCCCCATCATTGGTATTCAGTGGGAGGAATAGTGTCCATCTTGGTGTCAGTGGGAGGAATAGTGCCCCATCATTGGTATCAGTGGGAGGAATAGTGCCCCCACGTGCCCCCATCATAGGTGTCAGTGGGATGAATAGTGCTCATCATTGGTGTAAGTGGGGAGGAATAGTGCCCCATCGTTGGTATCAGTGGGAAGTATAGTGCCCCATCATTGGGTGTCAGTGGGATGAATAGTTCCCCATCATTGGTATCAGTGGGAAAGGTATAGTGCCCCATCATTGGTGTCAGTGGGCAGGAATAGTGTCCCATCATTTGGTCGTCAGTGGGAGGAATAGTGCGCCCATCATTGGGTGTCAGTGGGAGGATAATAGTGCCCCAACATTGTATCAGTGGGAGGAATAGTGCCCCATCATTGGTGTCAGTGGGAGGAATAGTGCCCCTTCATTGGTGTCCAGGTGGGAGGAATAGTGCCCATCGTTGGTGTCAGTGGGGGGAGGAATAGTGCCCATCATTGGTATTATGTGACACCCAATGATTGGGCACTATTCCTCCCACTGACACCAATGATACTTACTTGCTGACGCCCTGCTCCAGCCTGGGCTCGCTCGCTCCTCCCTCCCTCTCCCATGGTACAGACAACTTACCGGTCAGATGGTCTTCCCCTTCTCCGGGGCCGCTCTCCTCTCTTCACTCGCTACGATCTTCACGGTGCCGCTCGGCTCCTCTTTCCAAGCTCCACCTCCTCGCCGGTGATTGGCGCCTGTGTGCCTCTCCTTGAGCTACAGTTCCGGCGGCCAATCACCGAACGAGGGATTGATCCGGGGGTCTGTGTCCAGGCTGACAGGGACGGCATTGTCATCCGCCCACACCTGGAGACGGATAGAGCAGCGGTGTCTCGGTTCCTAAGGCCATCGGAAATATGTGTTTTTCGATGGTCTTAGGCGACCCCTGGGAAAGAAAGTGTGTTCGTTCGACCCCAAAGGGAGTCGCGACCCCAGGTTGAGATACCGCTGCTATAGAGGAAGAGTTACTATAGAGGAAGAGTTACTATATAGAAAGAGTTACTATAGAGGAAGAGTTACTATAGAGGAAGGTTTACTATAGAGGAAGGGTTACTATAGAGGAGAAGGGTTACTATAGAGGAAGGAGTTACTATAGAGGAAGGTTACTTAAGAGAAGGTTTACTATTAGAGGAAGGATTACTATAGAGGAAGGTTACTATAGAGGAAGAGTTACGATAGAGAAGGGTTACTATAGAGGGAAGAGTTACTATAGAGGAAGGAGATACATATAGAGGAAGAGTTACTATAGAAGGAAGGGTTTACATGGAGATCATATCCCCCCTTATAGAGGAAGGGTTACACATTGAGAGCACATATCCCCCCCTTATTTATTTTATACCTGGAGATCATATCCCCCCCTTATGTATTATACATGGAGATCATATCCCCCCCTTATGTATATACATGGAGTATCATATTCCCCCCTTATGTATTATACATGGAGATCATATCCCCCCTTAAGTATTATACATGAGATCATATCCCCCCTTATGTATTATACATGGAGATCATAATCCCCCCCCTTATGTATTATACATGGAGATCATATTCCCCCCTTATGTCTTATTGGATGCAGTCCCCCCTTATTATTATACATCCCGAGATCATATCCCCCCCTTATGTATTATACCTGGAGACGAGTTATATCCCCCCCCTTATGTATTATACATGGAGATCATAATCCCCCCTTATGTATTATACAATGGAGAGATCATATTCCCACCTTATGTATTATACATGGAGATCATATCCCCCTTATGTAATATACCATGGAGATCATATCCCCCTTATGTATTATACATGGAGATCATATGCCCCCCTTATGTATTATTGACATGGAGATCATATCCCCCCCTTATGTATTATAACATGGAGACATATCCCCCCTTATGTAATTATACATGGAGAATCATATCCCCCCCTTATGTATTATACATGGAGATCATATCCCCCTTATGTATTATACATGGAGATCATATCCCCCCCCTTATGTATTATACATGGAGATCATATCCCCCCTTATGTATTATACAATGGCTGATCATATCCCCCCCTTATGTATTATACATGGAGATCTTATATCCCCCCGTTATGTATTATACATGGAGATTATATATCCCCCCCTTATGTATTATACATGGAGATCATATCCCCCCCTTATGTATTATACATGGAGATCATATCCCCCCACCCCCCTTATGTATTATACATGGGTGATCATATCCCCCCTTATGTATTATACATGGAGATCATATCCCCCCTTATGTATATACATGGAGATCATATTCCCCCCCTTATGTATTATACATGGAGATCATATCCCCCCCCCTTATGTATTATACATGGAGATCATATCCCCCTTTTGTATATATACATGGAGATCAGATCATATCATATCCCCCCTTATGTATTATAACATGGAGATCTATGTATTATATATGGAGATCATATCCCCACTTATGGTATTATACATGGAGATCATATCCCCCTTATGTATTATACATGGAGATCATATCCCCCCCTTATGTATTATACATGGAGATCATACCACCCCCCCTTATGTATTATACATGGAGATCATATCCCCCCTTATGTATTATACATGGAGATCATATCACCCCCCCTTATACATGGAGTATACCCCCACATATTATAACATGGAGAATCATATTCCCCCCTTATGTATTATACATGGAGATCATATCCCCCCTTATGTATTATTATACATGGAGATCATATCCCCCCTTATGTATTATACATGGAGATCATATCCCCCCTTATGTATTATACATGGAGATCATATCCCCCCCTTATGTATTATACATGGAGATCATATCCCCCTTATGTATTATACATGGAGATCATATCCCCCCTTATGTATTATACATGGAGATCATAATCCCCCCTTATGTATTATACATGGAGATCATATTCCCCCTTAATGTAATTATTACATGGAGATCATATCCCCCCTTATGTAATTATACATGGAGATCATATCCCCCCCCTTATGTATATTATACATGAGATCATATCCCCCCCTTATGTATTATACATGGAGATCATATCCCCCTTATGTATTATACATGGAGAACATATCCCCCCTTATTATTATACATGGAGATCAATACCCCCCCCCAGAATCTCCTCTTCTTAGTAGAGAATACACTCAGTTCCTCTAATCTTTCCTCATAGCTGATCTCCTCCATGCCTTGTATCAGTTTGGTTGCCCTTCTCTGTACTTCCTCCAGTTCCCCAATGTTCTTTTTTGTGAATTGGAGTCCAAAACTGAACTGCATATTCCAGATGAGGTCTTAATAATGATTTGTACCCCGGGGGGGAGGGGGGGGGGTATCTCTCTCTCTGGAGTCTATACCTCTCCTAATACAAGAGAGGATTTTTGCTCGCTTTAGAACCCGCAGCTTTGGCATTGCTGCCATTATTAAGCTTGTTATCTACCAGAACCCCCCCAGATCCTTCTCCACCATTGACCCACCCAAGATCCTTCTCCACCATTGACCCCCAGATCCTTCTCCACCATTGACCACCCGGATCCCTTCTCCACCATTGACCCCCCAGATCCTTCTTCACCATGACCCCCCCAGTTCCCTTCTCCACCATTGACCCCCCAGATCCTTCTCCACCATTGACCCTCCCAGATCCTTCTCCACCATTGACCCCCCCAAGATCCTTCTCCTCCCATTGACCCCCCAGATCCTTCTCCACCATTGACCCCCAGATCCTTCTCCACCATTGACCCCCCCAGATCCTTCTCCACCATTGACTTCCCAGATCCTTCTCCACCATTGACCCCCCAGATCCTTCCCCACCATTGACACCCCAGATCCTTCTCCACCATTGACCCCCCCCCCCCCAGTTTTACCCCTCTAGTATGTATGATGCATGGATATTCTTAGCCCCCAAGTGCAGAACCTTACATTTATCACCATTAGCCCTCATTGGCCCCATAGTCCCCCAATTACACAGAGCATTGAGGTCGGCTTGTAAATTGGAGACATCCTGTAAGGACGTTATTCCCCGGCACAGCTTGGTGTCATCTGCATAGACTGGAATGGGATTTTTAATCCCAGACCCTCGGCTCTCCTGGGTCTCTCTCCTCATTGGTTGAGACAGCAGCAAGAGTTGTTGGCTCCTGCTGCTGTCAGTTACAGCCAATGAGCCAATGAGGAGATAGAGGGGGTAAGATGGGGCTGAGCCATGGCTCTGTGTGTAAATAAACAGGCAGAGCAGAGGCTCAGGAGCGAGCCTGCATTTGTGCCCCATAGCAAGCTGCTTGCTCTAGGAGCACTCAGCAAGGGGGAGGGGGCCAGGAGTGCCAGCGAGGGACCCAAGAAGAGGAGGTTGGGGGCTGCTCTGTGCAAAAACCATTGCAGAACTGGTAAGTATAGACATGTTTGTTGTTTTTGTTTTGATTGCCTTTAATATCACTTTAACTCATTACTAACCTACTAAGTGACATATCGGCATGGATGTCACTCCACTTCCTCAAACTCAATATTTCCAATACTGAGCTCTTAGTATTCCCCCCAGCCCGTGGTTATCTCTCGCCTTGACTATTGTAACTCCATCCTCATTGTCCGACCTCATCGCAGGCTATCCCCTCTTCAGTCTGTCATAATGCTGCTGCCAGACTCCTCCACCTTACTAACCGTTCTGTATCTGCCACCCCTCTCTGCCAATCCCTCCATCGACCTCTATTCAGTGTCCTCCACCCCTCTCTGCCAATCCCTCCACTGGTCTCCATTCAGTATCCTTCACCCCTCTCTGCCAATCCCTCCACTGGCCTCCATTCAGTGTCCTCCACCCCTCTCTGCCAATCCCTCCACTGGCCTCCACTCAATGTCCTCCACCCCTCTCTGCCAATCCCTCCACTGGTCTCCACTCAGTGTCCTCCACCCCTCTCTGCCAATCCCTCCACTGGCTTCCCCATTGCCCAACGGATAAAATTCAAAACACTAACAATAACGTATAAAGCCATTTATAACTCCGCTCCAAATTACATCACCAATCTTGTCTCTAAATATCACCCAAACCATCCTCTCCGCTCCTCGCAAGACCTCCTACTCTCCAGCTCCCTTGTCTCCTCCTCCCATGCTTGTCTCCAGGACTTCCCCAGAGTTTTCCCCATCCTCTGGAACTCTCTACCCCAATTTATCAGACTATTGCCTACTCTGCTCACTTTTAGGTGATCTCTGAAAACCGATCTCTTTAGGGAAGCCTATCCTTCCCTCAGCTAATAATGGAATCTTCTACTCCTCCAACCAGTTCATCCCCCACAGTTACTACCTTTTGTACCACTAGCCCCTCCCTCCTATATTGTAAGCTCCTAGGATCAGCCCCTCCTATCCCTTTTGTATTGAACTGTATTGGTGCTGTATTGTCTCCTGTTATATTGTAAAGTGCTGAGCAAACTGTTGGCGCCATAAATCCTGTATAATAATAATAACTCTCCAGCATCTACCAAAAAACAAAATATCACATGTGATTGGACTGGCACTTTAAGTGATGCAGGAATGTGTTCCTTTCTTCACATTGTGCAACCAACAAGCTTTTAAAATTTTCATTCTGTAACACACAGCACAAAAAAAAAATTCAATATAGTCTTCATGTAGGAGTCTAATTTTTCATATTCTCGGGCTGATTCCTGAATTTTAACTAAGCGTTCTTTGTCCATCCAAAAGTGCAGCCTAAGCAGAGTTCCCCTCGTAGAGCACTTTCCTCCTCTGATCTGTGACCCTGTCTTTGAGCGGAATGACTTTGCAAGATATCTTATTGGCAAACGCTTGACTCTCCCAATAGAGAACATTTGGTATGGTGTCAATTAGACGGTACTGCACAATGTGGAACAATACAGCCTCAATGTATTCCGGCTCCAAACTGCTTGCAAGGGTTTAATTTAGCTAAATAAAGAGGAAAAAAGAGATGAACACCCCAAGGACACCAAAGTGATGTGCAAAAAAATCCGACAGAAAACCGCAGGGCTGGGATCGCCCCCAATGAATGCTTTAACAGAATGGGAAGTTGTTTTTGGCCGTCTATGTAAAGTCGATCTATTATTCGACTGTTTGTCTCGGTCGTGCGCGTTAAAAAGAGATGGGAATCCTCGTAATTATCTTTTCTATGCTTCTCCCCCAGCACAGTGGCAATAGATGCCTTTCATTTCACGCTACTAATATGCCTCTGTGAATGCCATTCATGTCATTATTTGCGTTGACTCCACTGGATATAAAGGGCCAATATGGCCTGATGAGAAAATGGATGTTGCTAAATATTTGTATATATACAAAGTTGTTCTTCCAGAACAACAAGCACTTGGTGCTGGTGGGTGGCGGACTACCTCGTGTGTGGCTTACGTGAGCAGCCAAGCCAACCCCCAATGTGTCACTAACCTGCTGGGCTTTGCCTAACTACTCTTCCCAATGTGTGGGTGATGGGTGGAAAAGGACCCCCAATCCATCATCGTGGCTGTGTGCTTTATCCCTTCACTCTCAGGGGTTCCAGACACTGGGTACCTTCTCCAGGCCCGACAGCCAGGGAACACCAGTAGACCTCATGATCACAATCTTCAGAGCAGCAGTTTTACCGAATAATGGCACCACAAGGCTGGCTGTGGTCAACGTTCTTTTCCTGAATGCCTGAATCAATCATGGCTCCAATAGAACACAATTCCATGGCAAACAGACTTTTGATCCCAGGCCTTGCCCGTGGCTGCTCTTGCCCCAGCAGATAGAGGTGCCTATGTTCTTCCTGACCCATAATGGGGAAAACAGAGGGGGTGAACCAGCTTCATGGCTCTCTCTTCTGTCTCCTGTAACTAGGATGGGAACCTCAGGCCACTCTACCCTCCCCCAGAAGCGGGGAGAGCAGGAGGACAGCAGATGATGTTGCCTCTTCCTCTTCTCTCCCCAGACTGATTGTCAAGGAAGGCTTGCCCATAGTACAGATGATGTTTCCAGGTGCATACGTATTCGCATGTGCAGGCCGGCAACTGGCCAGACAGATGTTCATGGATGTGGGCAAAGGTGTGAAAAATGTACATGAGCACTAGTGTAACCAGACATGAGCCAGTATCTAACACTGGTGCCAAATGGGCTATTCAACCAATGCTGCAGCGTTGGCTCATTGCTGTTTGGTCTACAGATTCTATCTGCTTTGTTCTTGATTCCTGTGTCTGACCTCTGATCCTGACCCGACCTGCTCCTGACCACATTTGTGGCCTCCTGTTCTTGCCTTAACTGCCTCACCATTGCTGACATTGGCCTGTGACTGTTACTGACCCGGAATGCCTGGCCTTGCATCCTTCTCATCTAGCCCGCTACAGCTCTTCAGTCCAGCAAGCTCACATCTGGCTCCTGTTCTCTGCTGCATTACCACAGTCTGCCGCCAGTCATGCTACATGCCAGCTCATCTGTTGCCAGCCTGTCCTGCTGCCACATCTGCCTGCTGACAACTGCTACCTATGCAGACTACTGGAGTGGTCACAGGCACTCATACCCCGCCATGCTATTGCGGCTGCTGTCTCATACCAAGGGCCCCTGAGCTGGAGCTGTACGAGAGGCCTTCTTCTTCTTCCAGGATCGCTAACCAGGTATGTGACACCGACCCTTCTCCTCCCTACTAGGATCTGCCTAGTCTCCAATCCAGCCGGAAGAGGCACCTTAAAGGGGATCCCCATTCTACCACCTGCCTTCAATGGTGTTTCTGTTAAATTGACCATGTCAGCGTAAAATGTAGGCCAGATTAGATTATCCTGCAGGAGAAGAGGTGAGTATAGAAGGTCCAAAAAAGCTCATCAGTGGTCCCATTGGCAGAGAAGCCCTTTGTCATATGTCTAAGGATAGGTTGGAGTCATTTGGTATAGTATGGTGACGGCGTGTTGTCCAGATTGCAGACCAAATGCTGCCACTGTACTATACCGAATGACTCCGACCTATCCTTAGACATAGGACAATAGGCACCTCCGCTGACTGGACCACCAATACTCATCTTTTTCAAACACCCACCTGAGCACCCCAAAAATGGATCCAGGGTTTAGGACCCTCATGACATCGAGAGTGACCACTTTCATCCTGTGTGGAGACAGGGTTTTCTCCACCTGTACACATGGAAGGTTGTGTGCCTCTGCCCCATATGGTGACCTCAACCTCAACAGATGTCAGTTATTCTCCTGTTTTCTTTTCCCTATTGATGAAGGAATGTTATATGACCTCTGAACTGACTACACTATAAGGGCGTTCCTGCCTCCCTCTCTTCAAAGTGATTTTACACACTTTTAAAGGGTGCCATGACTGAAAATGTTTGAGAAACTCTGGCCTGGCACATGCACTTTCCATTGCAGCCACATAGAGATGGAAGGAACCAGCATTCCCTACTCACTCCTTCACCACCTCTGCACTACTCAGATATTAGCTTGGGTTGTGACTCTTGGTATAGAAGAGCGCTGGGTGAATAGGGAATACTAGTTCCCCACATCCACCACACTGTATTACAAACTCTCAGTGACTTGCACACAGCCAATGCCAGAGGGGGAGAGCTGGCTGGAGAGGATAAAACTGGGGTGTGTTGGGTATATACATCCCCTGACATATTGTACTGCACCCCCAGATCAGATAGGCTAGATCCAGCCCTGCACCAAACCAGAGAACTGGTATGTAGGCTAATAGGCTAATGCTGGAGCATTCCTGTTGGTACAATCTGCTGCGCCTTCATTGACCAATAGAAGTCTGTCGTGGATTGTAGGCCAGGCTCTATTGCTCTACTGCATGCAGTCTGCAGGGAGGTGAGGACCTGGCTTTCTGGCAGGGGTGCCTGGATCAGGCTGGCTGAAGAGATTTAGAAATCCTTCAGTGGGTAAGGCAGTGCACATAGAATATGGAGCACTTCCTCACTACGGGTCGCTGAGATTTGGGTCCCCTTATAGTCCTGCACAACCAGGCAACATGCATTCTGTTCAAACCTTGTACACAGATGACAGTAAACAGTCCTTGAGTTTTTTTTTCTGAGGTTTATTAGGGGTATTGAACTTGGATGGGGTTGAGGGGTGTATTGGATGCCCAAGGGAGCTGTGAACTGAGGACAAACTCCTTAGTAACGATGTACGTTAAACATCAAGGTCTCTTTGTTGGAAGAGCTCTACAGCCCTCCAGGTGTACCACCTCAGACGCCAGATGAATTCTCCTCTTCACCCAACTGCCTTAGGGAATCCCTGGGCAAGGGAATCCAGACATTGCCATTTTGAAATGTACAGTCCCGGGTGAGGAGCTAGTCACTAGAATGCCCTCTTCCCTTATCTGGCCCAGGGGGTGTAGGAAAACTAACTCAGTCCTCTCCGGTAAGCTTGTGGGTTGGCCTTCAGTCCTTACTCTGGGCTTGCTCCTTCCCTTCTTCCCAGGCTATTTTCTCTCAGGGGATGGTGAGACTGAAAGATTCTCCTGTCCAACAACTCTGCCTGTAGGTAGTCCCCTCCTTGGGCCCCCTCCCAGGTTCCACACTCCAGCCTTTATTCCATCTTTGACAAGGCAGGGGCCGAGGAACGGACAGGCAGGCCTAACAATGTAACGCACTGGCTGACGACAACCACCACACCCACAGACCGAAGTCCCTCAGGGCGCGGAGTCTAAGTCCCAGGCTGCCCTTCACCAGGGCCCCTGATGGTGGGGATGGACTTGACGCAGCCAGGAACCAGGTAGCGGCCCCCGAGACACCTCAGCTGCTGCGGTAATGGCCGCCGCCATTGGCGTGTAGCTGGTGGAAGAGACAAAAGAGTAGTCAGACAAGCCGGGTCAACAACAACAGGACAAAACAGTACAGGACAGCAGACGAGAATCACAGGTCACGAGCCGGGTTCAGCAACAGAGGGTCAGATCAAAGGAGAATACAAAGAAT